TAGAAACAAACCCCATTGCCCCCCTTTTTTTTGAGACAGTGTCTCACTCTATTGCCCAAGCTGGAGTGCAGTGGTGCAATCATGGCTCACTGCAGCCTTGACCTCCTGGGCTCAATTGATCCTCACATCTCAGCCTCCCAAGTAGTTGGGACTACAGGTATGCACCATCACACTCAGCTCAATTTTACATTTTTTGGTAGAGACAGGGTTTCACCATGCTGCCCAGGCTGGTCTCAAACTCCTGGGCTCAAGTGATCTGCCTGCATCAGCCTCCCAAAGTGCTGGGATTACAGGCATGAGCCACAGTCCTCGGCCGAACCCAAATTTTGTATATCTCCTTCTCTCATTTCATTAATCTCTTCCCAAATGTCACCTCCTCAGAGAGGCCTTTACTGAATAGCACCCCTCCGAATTCAGCAGTAAACAACATTATATATTTATTTAGTTGTTTATTATCTATCTTCCAGACTAGAATGTAATCTCCATGATGGGCAAGGACTTTATTTGGCCTATTTCCTTCATGTTTTTTATTTTTATTTTTTGTCTTTTTAAAAAAATTTTCTTTCCTTCATTTTTTTAAGAGACAGGGTCTCACTATGTTGTCCAGGCTGGTCTCAATCTCCTGGCCTCAAGCAATCCTCCTGCCTGAGCTTCCTGAGTATTTGGAATTACAAGCCCACATCACTGTGCCTCGGTTATCTATTCTATTTACTTCTGTATTGCCAGTGCCCAGAATAGTGCCTGGCACATATTAACACTAAATAGTTACTGTTAGGCTTCCCTTCCATTCCACTAGGGTGGTGTCAAAGAAGGCAAAGTAGAAAGCCAGGATTTTCCATCTCTGCTTAATGGCAAGGAGGCCCACGCAGTGCTATGTTAGTAGAGGCCAAATGGGGAGCAATAAAAAGGTGCCGCTCCCATTTTTGGCCAGAGTGGTATCAGTGGAGGTCTATCGGAGAGCCTGAATTCTACTCCACCCAACAATACTGAGGTGCCTCTCTTCTCCCCAGGGTGTCAATGGTGGCTGAGTAAGGAAGCTAGACTTTTACTCCCCACCTGGAGGTAATAGGGTACTGCCCTCCATCCCTGCCAGCAGGTATTACTTTTTTTTCTGACTACAAAAACAATACACATTCATGGAAGAAATTTTGAAAAATACAGAAACAGAATTAAAAAAATCATTTATAATTTCAATTCCAGATAACTACTCTTAAGGTATACTACTTTGGTAAAGTAGCACCAAAGACAACTACTGTTAGCATTTCCTTCTTGTGTTTTTCTGTGCATATTCCCCCTCCCAAAACACACACTACATATAGCTACAAAATGTAGACTATATAGTGGTAAGCCACTTTGTATCCTGTTCGTTTCACTTAACATTGTAATCATGAGCATATTCTCGTGCCATCAAATTATCTTTACAAATTTGCTTTTTAATTGGCTGTAACACATTTTTTCATATAGATACACTGTATGGAATTAGTATGAGACCTCAAATTCAATACATCAAAAGAGAACACATCAAGTATATGTTTCAGTAAAGCTATGTCCCCTCCCCCAACAGCTTCCCATTTCAGTCGGTATCCAGGCTGGAAATCTCAGAGTCACCTTTCCTTCTTCCTTTCTCCTCTATCCTCTATAAATGGCCTACCTCCCAGTGCTGGTGATGATACTCTCTTCATAACAGCTCTCAGTCCTTTCTTCCTATTTCACCACCACTATTCTAGTCCAGGATCTTGCAGTCTCAGTCTTGTACTACTATCACCATTCATCCCAAATATCACTGTATCATGTGGTGCTCTAATTCCAGAACCTAGAATGACTTCCACTTTACTGTGGATATGAACTAGTCAGCCCAAAATTCAAGGGAACCTGCAATCTGCTCCCCATCCCCCTCTTCTGAAACTCCCTTGCTTATAAGTGCATCACTACTGATCTATTCAAATCCTCCCAGCCTCCTGAAAGCAATCTCCCTAAAGTCTTACTGCCCAGTCTCTCCACTATATAGTGTCAGCCCTTATTATATTCTGATCTGTCCGAGGGGCTTAGCTTTGTCTCCTCACCTAGATTTCTCAACTGTTTATCAGGAGGAAGGATCATGTCTTAAACACCTCGCATATCTCCCAATGGCACCAACATGAGTGGAATGTGGTTAAAAAATATATGTGTTGATTGCTTGAGCTGGGCTTTAAAGTGGAGTCACAATCATATCTCTTTAAATTAAACTGGTTCTGAAGCTCACTTTGGGAGACTGTGCAGGGGGAAAGGGTTTACTAGGGGAAGGTTTTATTAGTGACTGGAAAAAACCAGAGGGGAGATGATGAGTAGGTGTCACAGGGCAATGCTGCCATGGAGAAGAGGGCCACCAGGTCTGGGTTCAAATCTTGAGTTTACCACTTACTTGTTATGTGACTAGGGCATGTTACACAGTCTTCGGGTGCCAGTGTCCTACCTCATAAGGAAATTGTGAGGTTAAATGAGATCATGTATGTGAAGTACCTAGCATAAGGTGTTGTGCTGTACCCTGTCAATATCAGTTCCCACTTCACAGATTTAGGTAGAAATTTCAAGTTTCATGAGGGATATGCCAAGGGTTTTCATGGTTTGTTAAAGCTTCTGTCTAAGTTACTATAGCTTTGGGAAGCAGTCTCTATTTTTATTTTAGAAATATAAAACTTTTTTTTGTAGATAGGATTTGTCTCTGTCACCCAGGCTGGAGCGCAGTGGCACAATCATGGCTCACTGCAGCCTCAACCCCTCTGAGGTCAAGCAATCCTCCCACTTCAGCTTCCAATGTAGCTGGCACTACAGGTATATACAACCACACTCGGCTAATTTTTGTATTTTTTGTACAGACAAGGTTTCACCATGTCATCCAAGCTGGCCTTGAACTCCTGGGCTCAAACAATCCACCTGCCTCAGTCTCCCAAAGTGCTGGGATTACAGGCTTGAGCCATAATGCCTGGCCCAGAATTTGTAAAATTTTTAGCATGACATTTTTATAACTTATTTTTCTATTTAACAACAACAATAATGACAACAAGAAACTTTTCCAGCTCTTATGCGCTTTAGTGAAACAAGAAAGGGAGGAGCCTGCTTGATGAGGAAGCCCAAGCTGGCAGTAGGCTCCTGGAAAGGACCACGGGGAGCCACAGAGGAATAAAGAGCTAGCAGGGGACAGGAAAGAAAAACAAAGGATGGACATCACAGAGATTTTCACTGGAAGTCATGCAAATTGGCTCAGGTATCCTCTGCAACCCTGCTCCGAAGTCCTTCCAAGAAGCCCTAAAGCAAATGGTCAGTTTATCCTTGGGACCAACCCTACCTTTCAACTTATCCTCATGGCTGCTCAAG